TATGATTCCTTAATGGTCTGCCTGATGGCTTTATTATATTCATGTCCAGAAAATGGTATAAGCAGCAGAATATTACAAAAGAAGTCTGAAAATCTGTTCCTTTCATCTTTGGTGGATCCATGGCTGACATTCTAGTAATTAAAGGGCCCAGGGTTGTCCTGTGCCTGACGGGGAGCAAATGTGTGAGGATAGCAGGTGCTATGCATAGTGAGCTACTGCAGTGGATCCACAGGACCTCACACTGCTGAGAACATGTTCAGCCACAAAGGCTGCTTTTCCATGATGTCTTCCAGGAAGAAATGACATTTCAAAAGTGCCTAGCCATTGCTGCCCATCACTCTTTTCTTAGACCTTTTAGCAGTTTTCTTTGACTTTCTAAATCAATGCTGAACTTCTCAGTGTGGTTCTTAAAGTGCCTTTCTACCTTCTTCCATGAAGTCTCATCATAGTTTTCCTTAGTTCCTCTATACAAGCCTATTATCAAAGATGAGATGGCCTGTCTATCAAAATTACATTTCTATTAATGCATTGTAACCCATTACATTCCCTTTAGTTGGGAATAGCCTCATGGTCCCCATGTCTCCAGTCAAACCACTTATTTCCTATGGGAATGCCTCCAAAGCCCAGCAAATACTGCCTTCCTCTAGATCTTTTCCCAATTAATGGTTCAAGAAAACCTCTCCTTCTTTTCCCATCCCAGGCACTAGTTCTTGGCATGGCTTCTTAAAATGCTGCTGATCTCTCTCTGTGCTCTTTCTCCTCAACTTCTTGACACACATTCTGAATTACTCCTTTAGATAAAAAGCCTTAGGCCTAATTTCATGCTAAAAGCACAATAAAAAAAGATTTAGAACAGACTGTCTAAACGAGAAGGCTTTATTTAGTCATGTGCGACGGTAATAGTAGGGAGAGTCTAACTATCAGCATTAAGGATACTGCTGCCGTTGGTCATACGGGTTCCTTTCCTAATATGTTTCAATCAGTCTTACCTAGGTATTGAACATAAAATGTAACATATCCCCTGTATGGTCTTATTTTAATGGTAATCATGGAATTATTAAAAGCTGGCAATGTACACAAGCAGTCTAAATGAACTTTGTTTAAACTATCAGTATGGTGGCATTAGTGCGAATCGGTAAGAAGTTACCTACAACTACTGTGTCCTCAGAAATCAATCCAAAGGGCCTTCTCACTCCGTCAGATGATCATGGGATTTAAGTGAGTAATAATTTCTGTTGTCTAGGAGGAAAGGGCCCTTTGGGAAAATGGGGTAAACAGAGGAGAGGTAGAAAAGGGTGTGTCAAGAAAGGATCAATCCTCAGCACAGGTGGTTTTACCACCACTGCCAAAGCAGCAGATGGGAATAAAATGAAGACTAGGCAGGTTTGTGCTGGCACTTGGCAGTGTCCAAGGAGTCGGTGGGTCTCTTGGCAGCCAATTTATTGATAGTGTTTTTCTCTCTTCCTTTCTCTTCCCTTCTCCCTTTCTCCTCTCCTCTGTCATCCACTTCCTTCTTTCCTTTCCTTCTTTCAGCAAGCTTTTCTTTGGTGATGAAAATGATACATCAAATGTTTGTTTATGAATGTAAGCAGCAAAGAGATAGTATAGTAATGAAAGAAAAACACAAACAGATAGGAAATGTAATGAAGGGTGAATGCTGTCCAAGGCCAGGTAAACATGGGGGAGCATTAATGGGGCTAATGGCAAGAATTTGGGCTGTCCAGACTCTCCTTACATACTACCGGAGATGTGGGCAAGCGATGAAGAGAGTAGCCAAAGGAAAGGGAAGGAGGAGGGATGTGATTGGGAAGTGAAGCCCAGAAATAGGCAGGACCATCTAATCAATGATTCAGGTGAATTTGAATGTAAACATTTGCATCTTAATTTTAAAGAGCTTCCAAGGTAAAAAAAAAAAAGCAAGCAAACAAACAGGGGAAAAAAAGAAAACAAAACAGGAATGAACCTGATTGTTCTATGTCCAGAACACTGTGTTCAGCTCAGGAATTCTCTATCAGTGCTGTGGCCAGCAGGAACACCATCACAACCCTGGACAGGATTGTCCCCAAGGGCTTGACAGAGGAAAAACACCCACTCCCACAGTCACCTGGCTTCCATAATCTGAAGGGAACTTGGAGCCATTTCAGTGAAACACCCTCATGTTTAAGCTCACTAAGACTTGGAGAACTTAAATGAACATCTTCAAAGTTCATAGCTAACTGTTCACAATGCTCTTTAACCCTCAAATCAGGTATAGCTGGGCACTTTTTGCTTTCCATATGAAAATATTCCTACTTCTACATGTTCTCCCCCTGCCTTCTAGTTCAAGCCAAACGCCTCTAACTCCTTGTTTCGAATCTTCAATCATTTTCATTTTGCAAAGTAGAACTTGTCAAAAGAGGGCTGTTCTTCCACATGCCTTAGTCACAATCAGTTTTTAAACATACAACACCTTAATGAACGTTTTATATTAGTCTGAGGTGATATTCTAAAATATAAAGTTGCTTAGACAAAAGTTTTCTCATTGGGAAAGATGGTGATGGTAATGAAGTATTCACAGGCGGGTGCTTTCTGCTTTATAAATGGCCTGCTGGAGAGTCTGATTCCCAAAGCACCCAAGAATCAAATTTGGCAAGATGGCTTTTCTGGAACCCTAAACTGGGATGGGAGATCAGAGCCTTCTAATATGGACCTTGCTAAGGAAGGCCATCATTGGTCTAAGGTGGATGTGGTTGGAAAAACAATTTTTCCCTCTACAGAGGACTCAGGACTCAATAAATAGAAACAAACTGGGAAGCTTTGGCATTGTCCTGAGTCCTCCAGAGGCATCAGTTTTTGCCAACGGGTCACCACCACCTGGTCATTTTCTGTACCTTTAAAACATATGCTTGATTTTGTTTATGGTTTATTGCTCTATCTTAGAAGAAAATGGATTTCTACCATATTGGTTTTGGCTTTTGGAAGATGCTCGGTGAACTGAGAAGCCCTTTACTATAGAAAACTATCATTGTAGCCGTTCTGATGAAGAAAACGCTTAGGGCTAGGCATGGTGGCGCACGCCTTTAATCCCAGCACTTGGGAGGCAGATGTAGGAAGGAGAATCTCTGTGAGATCGAGGCCAACCTGGTCTACATAGCAAGTTCCAGACCAGCTGGGGCTATAGGAGACCCTGTCTTAATAAAAACAATAAAAATAATTTATAAAGAAAAAAGTTTAAATTCAAATCCCTATCCATAAATGGATTTGAAATGAGGCTGGAGTTCCACTTCCAGATTGCCTTGGTATGGAGAGAAAGTGGATGGGATTGCCCAGAGTGCTGTGACCTACATTCCTCTAATGGAAGATTCTACAGGTAGTCACTGCTGCCTGCCAGAAGGGGATCAAAGAGCTAAAACAAATTCAGAGGTGGTTAGCAGGGGTAAGAGTGAAAAAGAGCCCACCATGATTCAGGAAGGAGAGAAGAGCGTGGATTGACATGAATGTACCTAGGTGACCCCAGTGCAAAATCATGATGTAAAAGGAGGCCTAACTTTCAGGAAAGTGGTCAATATCCTAGCAGTGGATTCTCCCCACAAACACGTTTGAGTTTGTTGGAAACCGAGAAATGTTTATAAGCCTGAATATAGACTGTTGACGTCATTTCAGTCTGCTGAGTAGACTAGTGATTGACTATAGTTTTGTTTTAACAATCCAATTGAACAGACATTATATTCACAATACTTTATAGAATTAATGCTACAAAATGTGACAACAGAGTAACCACAGTCTGACAAGTCACTGCAGGACAATGCCTACACGGTGGGAGCACAACTACATTGGCTCTGCAGGGACAGAGGTGGAAGCTCATTTTGTCTACGTTGGTAATTGGAGCACTTAGTGGACATATGTTTTCATGGTGATCTCATTACTTTGCTCTGATCTGATCTGTACTATCGTAACTAGATACCATAGGATCATGGCCTAAAGAGTTCGTGGAATAGATATCATGGGACTTTGAGGGTTATTTTGATTAGTTTGGTAGTGTCCACATTTGACATTTTTAAGGAAATAAAAATCACGATCACATCCATGCTTTTCCAGGGACCCTGATGATCATATCAAAGGTTGATCATTTTGAAGTTGAAAGACTTCCTAAGTTATGAGAACAAAACAACTGCGGAGGTGACTGTACACTGGGCATGCAGGCAACAGCAGAGCTGAGACGTGACAACTGCATCTGATGGCTAGAAAGATCTTTTGACCACAGTTTGAAGTGGCTGATACATTTCATTTCATTGCTGGTAATTTTCAAAGGCCTTTTTCTAACAGTCCATATTGAGAGCATTAGTTACTTTCCTTTTGTTTGCTATTGTTTTTGAAATTATTTTAGCAAGTTTGCATGTTTTGTCTCAGCAACTAAATCAAGGAAAGCCAGCAAGTTAAAATCCTAGCAAAAGTGTCTCCTTGATCTTGAACATTTTCTGGCTTTTAAGCAAAAACTCAGGGATAAGAATGAATGCATCTCTGATCCTATTGTCAAGTCAAACTATTCATTGGTGTTCACAAACTTTCAGGCTAAAAGCTCTGAATGGGGAAAAAGTTCACCAGATCCTCCCAGAGTTGAAATCACTTGCTTGGATGGTTTGGAAACATGGAATGAGAAGCCCAGCAGCACGGGGGAATCCCCACCATGAGAAGAGCGAACACAGCCTGGTCTTGGGTGCCTCTGGGTCTCAACTTCTACATCCCAGGGGTGCCTAGAACCCTCCCTGGTATGTTTAGCTGGCTACATAAACCCGATCTGGCAATTGCAGAAAAGCTGCAAGAAGGTCTTTCCTTCAAATGTATGAACAAAGGATAAGAAATACAGAATGCAAACTAAAACTACAAAGGTTTGACTTTCAACCATGAAAATAAATATGTTTGATTTATTAAGAGCTGGTGTCAATGCAGATCAAAACACACACTCATTCAGGAGAGAGACAAGTATTCACCTCTCTTCCTCTGACCCTTTTTTTTTTTAAATTTGCTAAAATACATGTATACATTGTTGGCCATTTTAAAATTGTGTTAGTAATCCATTTCCCTTAGTTACAATTAATTGTGGTAGTGCCCATCACTCTCCTCAAAGAAAAAGAGAGAACAAAGAGAAATGGCATTGAGGAGTCTGGCCACTTATTCCTTTTGATTTTGCATTATTTGCTATAAGCGAAGATATTTGACAATGAAAAAAAAGAAAAAATATATTTTCTTTCTAATAAATAAAAATAATTTAAAATGCTAGAAGCTATACATGACTATTTCAGTATGTTCATTTATAAATGAAATCATTTTCTTTTCCAAAGTACATGGAAGCAATATTCAAGGCAGACAAAGAGAAAGATCTGTCTACTTTATTTTCTTGCTTATCCTAATGTTTCCACCAGTGATTCAGCGTGTAAGAGGAAGAGAAGTCACGTCACCATTTATGAAGTTTGTCAGGCTTTAAAAAAATAGTTCTGGTCTCCTGGGAGTCAACATTCATCTTCAACTTCTCTGATTGGAGGGATCAGGCTGCTTGTGGATTTATATTGGTTGATCTGGTTAGCCATGTGGGTACTCATGGGCTTGATTTGAATGTTTCTGGGATAGGCATTATCCGGTTCATCTGTAAACCATTTCTTTTCTGCTAAAAGGCGAAATGGATAGAGAACAAGAAGGAGAAACGAGAAGCTTAATTAGTCCTAGGGTAAAGCTTTTGGAAAGTTTATTGAAAAATGCAAAAAGGTAATCGATAAAAGCTGACAGTGAGTAATTGCTAAGACAGTGCAGTGGAGAGAAGACCCCGGAACCTCAAACATACCTCTCTTTCCTGTAGCAATTGATGAACAAAATGAATGTGCCATTGGGACTCGGAAGCACCAAGGATAGACCTCAGAGAATAAGGGAAAGATTGGAAGAGGAACCCTGGCAATATTGGCTGGAGTTACCATGGTGGCTTAAAAAAGCTTTGGTGGGGGAGGGAATGATGCATGAATCAGCCGTGGGGGACAGACATTGCATCTGAGGAAATATTTGGGCATCTGGGAATTGCACAGTCACCATCCCTACTGCAGAGCTTTTAAATGGTCTAGAGGCTCTTCTGCAATACTACCGCTTCCCAGCCTTACTTAGCTTTGTTACAACAATTGGACTTAAAGGCAGGTATCAACCACACCACTTCTGTTTCTTTTGCATCCCTCTGATCATTTGGGGGTAAAGGAATCCCACAGAAGCTGCTGGTCAATAAGAATGATAATAAGAAAAGCAACCCATGTTTCAGGAAAGAGAACTCTGTGTGTATGAAGTTAGGAAAAGAGTTCCAAGTGGCAATATCTCAGCTGACTATAATAACCCAAGCTGTCAATGGAGAGCTTGATGGAGCCTTGGTGTTTCATGTCCACCCCAAATACAGAAATGGCTGAGAATCTGCTGAGTCAGGGCCTTTGGGGCTCTGTGGGGGAGCATCCTTTCAGCTGGGCTGTGCTATTTTACAAGATTCAGCTCTCGCCACTGCCCCTTTCTAGAACTGAAATTTTCTGGAAAATTGTCCATGAGTACAGACAGGAAGGGATTGGGCAGATAGATCCTTTAACTTGGGTCTCATAGGCTTTGTTTTACTGGCTCAGGGAAAGAAAAGAGAAAGAGAAATAGTTTCAAGGACAGCGCCTGCTATAAAGAGAACACTGTCTCTGTTTCCTTTTCTGCTTATTGAACAATTTACATCTGTCTTGTGGCTGGTTATGGACCTAAATGTTAAAGGGACTGCTCATCTGGCTTGGAGAGTGTGTGCACGCGTGTGTGTGCGTGTGTGTGTGTGTGTTGTGTGTTGGCTTATAAATAAAACATCTATTATCAATTCATGATAACACTGCTTCTTCCTTGGTCTGTATTATTGCTATTTCCGGCACTGTTTCCAGTGCCCCGAGACCCCAGTGTTGCTGACACCGGGGCTGGGGCATAACTGGGAAAAGCTTCCCTACCTTTGTTCAGAAGCTCGGTTTAGCCCTCAGGACACCTGCTACCTCTTGCATCTTCTCCCCATACTCCCTCCTGCTCTGGCTCTCTCACCTATTATAATTAAGTTCACTTTGATTTGAACAGATTGGACGATAGGAATTCATAATGCTACATCCTCACAGTGAAGCTAACTGATTAAGTGCTTTAAATTATTCCCCCTGACAGAATGATAAAGTTACAATCTGTTCTGAGATGATCTACAGCTTGCCAGCTCCTAGAGCTTCTTTCTACATACATTTATCTTTTTGTCAAGCAGAGTTTTTTTTTTTTTCCTAAGCTTCCATTCCATAGATCTTTTAAAGTCATCAGCACTTCTGAATTATTAATGAAGCTTTAGAGGCAAGACTCCTGATGGGCTGGTTAAAAAAGGTTGTATAGAAATCCGGGACTGTGTACACATCAAAATAATTTCAGCTCCATTTAAAAAACCATTTAGTTCAAGTGTGACATAGATGAACCATTATGCATTTGTGGAAACCAATTTTTTGTGATCTACGATTAAACTAACCTTTCAGAGAAGAGTAAAGTGTGATGGTTATCATGTTTAAAAGCATTGCCAGGTCTCTGAAACAATTTCAAACTACGACTTTCTCAAACGGTTTATGTGTAAAGATGATGCTCAGAGTGGAGTCTGGTGTTTGTGCTCTGCTTGCCTGAGCTGCCCTTGGCTCTGGCAGCACAGCTATGCAGGATGATTTTGCTAAAGGGATTTAGTGCTAGGTTGGGCATGCCAGGTTGGAAGAGTAAGTCTTGCTGATGGAAACGAGGTCTTTTGGGTGAAAGACCAAACAGCTGCAATTTGCTGAAATTTTTATAACTGCTGCAGAGAATAATTGTTGAGAATTTAGTCTTTACAGTTCAATTCAAAGCGGGCATTTTGACCTTTCACCGCAGAGAGAATATCAATTTCCTTCTGCTGTCCGTAAGAGAGACAACATTATTTCCCCCATTTAAGCTTTGTTCCCTTTACATTTCTTGCCAAAAAAATCAGGCTTAGAGAGAGTAGCCCTTGTGGTTTGCAGCCAGAGAAAGAAGAGACTGTGTGCAAAGGCCTCCCAGTCAGGAAGTGAGATCCTCATTGTGCCTGTGAAACAGTTGTTTCATTCCAGCATCTCCTAAGTGCTAAGTATGTGTGTTGTGAGAGACATGGTCAGATAAGATGGTGAAGAAATTGAACTGTAGGACTGCCCTGCACACTGTCTGAAATGTTTGGGGACAAAGGCATTTTGTGAAGAGATTCTCTCAAAAAGTTTCAGAGGGAGGCATATTTTAAAGGCCCCCAGCCACTTGGCTTCCATGGAGTGTGCTTTGGATACGACAGTGAAAATTTGGTTTATCGAATCCTATCTTCCAAAGGCAAAGCTGTGCCAATGGGTGGTTACAAAATGGGTACCAGAAGGAGGACACAAAGCAGGAATTCCAATGAGTGCTGAAGTGGTCAAGGGCAACGCCACAGGCTTGATTATCTCTGTGCTTTACCTGGCCCCACATGCCAAGAATTTCTGTCACTTATTTCATTCCTAAGATGAGAAGTGCTATGATCTGGCTGTGAGGGGCTCCTCAGTGCCCGAGGGGGAAAATGGCTGCATTTGTTCCCATGCTGCTTGCCCATGAACTAGGCACAATACCCTCATTCTGAGCACAATGTGTGATCTGCCAGGAGTTTTTGTCACAAGGCAGTTAGAGTTAGGGAGGGAATGACATGGTCCTGTCTATAGAAGGCATGCTGGTACAACAAAATAAAATCTAGAAAATGGCTGGAGGAAAAATTATTCATATACCAATGAGAGCATCTCATTTCCAGACCAGCTATGGCACTATGTGCACCATGGGCACACCATGAGGAGGAAGCCAAGGAAATGCCAGCAGACAGCAGTCTTTAGTCAAGGGGCTTGGGTCACTCACATGTTATCTGCATGGCTCTGAGGAAGTTACTACATAAAGTATCTTAGTGTCATTTCTCTTCTATAGAATAGAGCTGAGGAAATGATACTGCTACCCTTGTTGCTTGGATCAATAGAACTGCTGCCCACGACTTACCACACATTCAGCTACATGGTAAGCAAATGTGTTGCTAAAATTATTAATATTAATGGTAGGGACTTCATATCACAGTGGCTAATAGCATAGACTTTTGTGTCCTTCAGATCTCTTATCTGTCATATGGAGATACTAACAGCATCTACATCTGGGATGATCATGAGGATTGAATGTATTCGTGTATGTAATGTGCTGAGCAAAGTAGGGGGGATGGGATGACTGACCAGGCATTAGCTTTTAGTGTTAAGGTTAGCATAGCTATGAGTAGGATGTAAGAGGGACAGTACCTTCTGTGTGTAATTACAAATGGTATTCTTGAATGTAGAAGCCAGGGGCAGAGAACTAGGGTATATTTATTAGGAGCAGTTCTGAAGAATGTAAACTGTGGCAGTGGAGGTGACACAGGAATATCTTGTGGGTGGTCTTCATCCAGAAGGTACATGAGAGGAAGGGGTACCATGGTGGTGTTATGTTGGGGAGTTCAGGACCTGACCCCATAGAGGGCTACCTGTGCCTTCTATCATTAGTGGTAGGTAATCATAGAGTTCAGAATAAGAGTCAGGACTTCCTCCTGGAGGAGAACCCTATATTAAGGAAGGGCTGAGCTACTCAGGGCTCCACCAACAGAGGGAGAAACAGCTGTACTGTGAACACTGAGCTTCTGCTGGCTCTGTGGGTTGTCAGAGCTGTGGGATTTAGCCTTTTCTAATGCTGCAGAAAAGGGGAGCCAATGACACAGCAAAGGCATTTGGAATAATTGGCCCTCTTCTTGCAGCACCACAAGCTGAGGGCTGGAGAGCAAAGGCTTGGGAGGAAAACATTGCATTTGAATAGAGAGAGCAGTGAGACAGCAAGGGCTAACAAGGAGCGCCAGCCTTCGAGGGCAATGCCATTTGGCTTCCCCGATCACAAATTCCAATAGGCAGCGTGGCACTCTTCCTCTGCTCACCAAACCCTTGATGCCTCCCAGCCATACCTATGCATCCTGGCGCCTCTTCTCCTGCCTCAGAAGAATAGAGCCATTTCATAGAGATGAATATTGTCTATAACAGAGCAGTTTCCTCTGGTCTCACTTCTCTGTAACTGACCACCATGACTGATGGTCTCTTTAGCTGAAAGTCTTACTGAGCAAGCAATCTGGCCCCTCTGCACCATCTTCTGCAGCCCTGAGCCCAGCAGAACCCTGAGGGTGCTCTTTCCTCTTAGGTGGCAAGAGTTGCTGTCGCTTTTCCACGTACAGTCTCTGAATGGGAGATAGTTCACCAGCTCAGTGACAGGTGCCCACAGCTACTTTATCATATTATGACAAGGCAGGAAGCTGATGGAGAAATCGATTTGTACCCTGTCTTAACTTCCATAGTCCCTGAAGTTTCTGCACTTTCTCATTGTTTCTCCTTCAAGGAGCCTGTTGCTATAGGAACCTGACAGGCTGATTTAATTGTCTCTATTGGGATACAGACACCTTTAAGGCTTTCCCCATGCCAAAGTAACGCCAGTTAAAGGTTCATCTGGTCACCTACGATCTTGACAATGCTGCCAACAGGCAGAGTCAGCCTGTCCACTCACTGAGCCCACAGGGCTGTCCCCTGGCTTAGAAAGCAGGATCCAGCTCCAAAAGGCTGACACCAGCAGAGGAGTCTTGTGAACACCTCAGGCAGTAATTGCCATGATTTCAAGAATAAACCAAGGGGAGGAGGATAAATGATAAAATGTTTAAAACATATTAAAAAATGAGTAAAGTGAGATTTTTTCCCCCAATATAAAATGTACTGCCTATTTTAACATCCTGGGACAAAACCTTTAATATTTGGAATGGAATCGAAACCTCTCCCAATTGTAGTGGAAATTTTTCAGTAAAATGATCCTGTTTAACTTCTTTTGGGGAAGGACCCCAGTGGCAGATAGATGTTAGTGATGTTAAGAATCCCACAGCTGTGGCTGAGAAGGTTTCCCTCCTAGTCTACCAATTCACTTAACATTTGCTCTTTGCAAATCCTGAACAAATTGGACAGAATGGCTGACAAAATGCTTCTCTTCCAGAACTGAGAAGACCACCGAGTTCCTAGCTCTGGTTCCTTTTAAATGCACAGATTTCCCCTCAAAGTGCTCCCTCACTTTCTACCCTTTGCTGTTAGTTTCCACTTCAGGGAAGGAGGAAGTAGGGAAGAGACATAATACAAGACACTTGTATGCATGCTTCCTTCCTAAGTGAGCTGCTGTTTTCTTGAAAGAGGAAGTTTGGAGTCAAATGGAAAACAACGGAGGAAAGTCTTCACTCTATCGAGGAAAATGTATAATGTGGAAGTTTCAGCTAATAAAAGAGAAGGAATCATGATAACTTTTCCATCATCAAATATATCAGTACTCATCTCTGATCGATTCTCAAGGATCCGTAATTACCCGGTGGGGACTGTGTGCCCAAAATCCAGGGAAAAGCCCCACATTTCATCCCTTGTCACAGTCTGTTCCCATTCCAGTATCATCTCATTGAGGCTACTAACTGACTGCGTCAAAACACACTTTGGATTTATTTCTGTCCGCCCCATTTCTGCTTGGGATTTAATAAATATCTGAAAGTGGCAGGGGATACTTTGGTGCCATGGAGACCGCATCATCAGCCCCTGCATAACTGAACACAGGCTTTCTAGTTGATTCATACAGCTGAACAGTTTTAACTTTGGTTCATACTGATCAAACAAAAAAAGAGACCAATTCATTTGCCATTAATAACCCTCCTGCTTCAAACAAAAGGAGGAAAAAATATTAACAGAGAAGCACATTTGCCAAATGGAATAGCTATGAACGTTTTCCAGGAAAGTTTATCAGCTGTTGCCATCACTTGATTTGTCTTGCCAAGATCAACATAGAGATGTGAACAGACCGATGGGGGCCAGGTTTGGGCAGTGGTGATGGGAAGTGGAGGCAGCTGGGTTTCTCAATGGGAAAATGCTTTTAGACTTGGAGCAAGGTACCAAGGTGGGCAGGGAGGCCACGTGCAGATTGGAAGGCAAGCCAGATGGAGAGACGTTACCCCCAAACTACCCACCCCCCCCAAACCCAAGAACACCAAAACAAACTCTAAAGAATCTTGCCATAGCAGCAGTACAGCCTCATTGCGCTGAGCGATTGAGGAAGTGGAGGAAGAAAGAGAGGAAGGGGGAGAAAGAGGACGGAGGTGGGAGAAAGGGGGAGGGAGGAAAAGCAAAACAAAATAAATAGAACCACAAACAGAACAAGAGAAAGAAAAATAAAACAAACCAATAACAGAATAAAATTTGTAACTCCTTTTTTTTTTTTTTTTAATTCCACAAAAGTTTTCACAAGGACAACGTTATAGAAGGAACCCCCAGCAGCGGCTAGGTCATGCAGAACCATTAATTGTCATACCTTGGCCCATCCTATTCATCCTTGTTGCACTTTAGAGAGAGAAGTAAGCTATGTGAGTTTTACAATGCTTTTAAACTGTCATATTTCCTGTTGAGCACTTTAACTGGCACATTCTTATAGTTATAAATGTCCTGAGGGCGTAACTTCATAACCTCCTTTGCAAAGAATGCATGAAGAGTTCTTCATGATCCAAACTAAGGGGTATGTATATATAGTTTTATATATATATACATATATATAGTTATATATAAAGAGATAGATGTATGTAATATATAAATCAAAATACATAGGGACAAAAATAATTTGAAAGAAAATACTTCCATTCACAGGGCTTTTGAATATACATGTATACAATTACCCCCAACTCATTGCTGGTTGGAGTGCTGCGCTGCTCCTGTCTTTGGTGGGGGATGTGGAGGTTCTGATGGAGCCTCACCAATTTTTGTCAGTAAAAGTGCTTGTCAATCACACAGCAAGCAAATCTCCAAAACTATCATGCTGGAAAAGACAGGGGATCCAAAACCTAAATCCAAAGCATTCACCATAAAAACACCTGTTCTAAAGAGATGTTAGGGCGGTGACAGTTCTTTTTTCCTGCTTTCTGTCCCTATTCTATCAATGGATTTTAAGTAAACATCTCAGTTAGGTTCATGCGAGCCCAGGGATAGTCCATCCACACCAGAATTTGGTTATGGTAGAGTTGGCCTAATTTTAAGAACTCCTATATCACCTAAAACTTGGTTTGCATGCATGAAACACCTAATCGTTGTACGTTTAAAAAAAAAGGGGGGAGGATATTTTTCTACCTTTTCTCCCATATGTCTAACAGTTAAGAAAGAAAGAAAACAAAAGAAAAAATATATATGGAAATGTGTCTGGCTCACTTGTGCTCATCGTAACCCTATCTTGAAATGACAGGGAAGAAGTTCTCTTATTGAATTGGTGACAGCCTAAAGAACTGGAGGGTAAAGAACTTCTCTGGCCAGTCTTCTGTTTGGGGACACAGCACCATGCAGCTGTGCTCACAATGTAAGGTGGTTGCTAGCTTTTGTCTTTGTTGAGTCAACTGTGCTTTGACCCTCCTATTTCCCCATTTACCTGGCATGTCGGCTCCTACCAAAACATACCCGCTGCTGGGTCTGTCTCCCTCTCACTCCACCACTGCCCCGGCCTTTGATTCTATCTGGCATTGGGGCCCTCGTTAGTCAAACAAAGGGGAGTAAAAAGGTCCCCTGAGAATGCGTGGAAAAATACTTGCTCTTTTCTGAGCATTATTTATTCTGTACATAAGGTAAGTGATTCACCTTTTAAAAGATGTAAAAGTCCCAGGAAGGCAGTTTTTAATGACTTACATCTGATATTTATGATACATATGGCTTTTCATCCCAAATGTCAAAAGTGAAAGAAAAAACTATCTATTCATATGGCAGCGTGAGGAGACAGAATAACAACGGAAAATGCAACCAAACCACTTTTCACGTAAATGAAATGACTAGGGTTTGATACATCCAGGTGTAGAAAACTGCTTTTTTCCCTCTGCATTAAGGTTAGAAATGTTCCCATGAACTCCCAAAAGAAACTAGCTCTGGGACCAAAGGTCTTGGTGAATAACTAAAAAAAAAAGAAAAAAAGAAAAAAAAGAAAGAAAAAAAATAAAAGCTCTGATGCTCTCTTGCAACAAGCAGATATTTAACCATCATCCACACACACTTTGAAAGCTCTTCAAATGTTTTGTGATACTTCAGCCCAGAGAGTGGAAATGATCAATATTTTCATTGGTTTTGGTTGTTTGTTTCAAATGAACATGTGCTAACTTTGCGTGTGTGTGTGTGTGTGTGTGTGTGTGTGTGTGTGTGTGTATAAAGGAAAACAAACAAAAAATATCAAAACCCAAAGCACCCTGATAATCCTGATAAATCAGAATAAACTTTTCTTGAACATTAAATAAACCTGCTCTGCCTGACTGACAAGGATCATAAGCATTCCTTGTCATCTGTGAACCTATTCCTGCAGTGACCTATGGATGTCTGGAGCATGCCTTTGGGTTACTTTTACCCTCGAATCATAAATAACTTTTGGTCCTGTAGTGCTCAAGGGTTTTATGGTGGTGAAATAAAAATTACAACCACATGCACACTATCATACATATGCAAAATGTGTAAAAAAAACAAACAAACAAACAAAAAAAAAAAAACCAGGGAGGACTACAGGGAAAACGGGGAAAGTTACTTTGCTGGAATACCAACTGGGGAAATGAGTGGCAGATACAGTTTCACACATGGTGGCGGTGGGTACACATATCAAAGCCGTTCTTCCTGAACGTACTTCTGTTTGTCGCGGGACTCCCTGGACTTGGGCCGGTTTGGCCGGTTTGCTGTGGACGGGATGGAGTGGACAGAGGAGCTCTTCTTGCTGGAGGACTGTGATGAGTGGGAGGAATGGGACAGGCTGGCCCGGGACTGGCCGGCGTTGTGGTCAAACTGCATCAGGCAGAAGATCAGGTCTGTCGGCACCAGCTCAAACTCGTAGGGGGGGTTGGTGATGACGTACCTGGACAGAGAGAGCAAAGGTGTCACAGGTTGGCATGAGCCGGTACAGAATTCAACATTCCCAGAACCAAAGGGAGCTTCACGGCTGCTCAAGTCAAGTCTAGCCTAGGATCTGGAAGATGTACATGGTTCAACATCCTCAAACTCTCTTCCAAACTAAAGGAATCTGCCTGTTTAACTCAATCAAAGGCAGCCAGTCAGAAACTCAGACAAAGGTGTCAAATTACAGTTACTAATGGAAGAACCAAACCATAATTCTTATGGTCTATGTGCATTTTTCTGTACAGGGTCAAGTTCATAGCAAATAGAGATAATCTAATTGCACTGAAACTTCCTACTGGAATTTCCTGACAACTCTAGACATTGATCACAAGATCTTTGCTTACCATGATCTTTGCATCTCTTTTAAAATAGTTCTCCAGGCCAGGGCAGGGTTTAATGGTAAATGTCTTTAATCTCAGCACTAGGGAGGAAGAGGCAGAGGCAGGCAGATCTCTGTAAGTTCAAGGTTAGTCTGATCTACGTAGTGAGTTCCAGGCCTGCCAGGGCTACACAGTGAGACCCTGTCTCAAAACAAACAAACAAACAAACAAACAAACAAACAAAATCATTCCCTGGTCGCTGTCTATAGGCACCTGCTTGCCTGCTCTCCTCACTAGGTCAAGCTTTCTTTCTTCTCTCTGACACCATTCATCACTACAATAATCAATAATCACTGTGTTCCCTCCACAGCAGCAATAGATCTTGAAGCACAGTCTCTGCACCTTCTGGGAACCTCAGAAAACTGCATATTCTTGGACTGAGGACATAGCTCAGTGGTAGAACATTTCCCTGGCATGCGTGAGGCCCCAGGTTCAGTCCCTAGCACTGGAAGAAAGCAAGGAAAGCAATCGAAGCCCATGGCCGGTGCTTAGTGCTTTGTCCTTCAAAACTTCAGCATGTGATTCTTATACCCTGTGACTTGTGAGAGCCAGAACTCACCAGTCTGAGGCAACTGTTAACTCACTATATGCTGAAATTCTTGGGAATCAGATATATAAGCTTTGTTATATATTTTACAATATGTGTATATATATTTTTTACACACTCTTTAAATCAGATTTTTGTTTTGTTTTGTCTTGCTTTTTTGGGTTGTTGTTTTTCAGTCTTTTGAAGGGTCTCCCCATAGCCCTAGCCAGCCTGGACCAGGAACGGAACTCACCATGTAGAAAAGGCTGTCTTCAATCTCACAGAGATCGCTTGCCTCTGCCTCTCAAGTGCAGCACACATCCAGCTTACAAATCATTGTTAAAAAATATTTTATTTGTTGGGGCTAGAGAGATGGCTCAGGGTTAAGAGCACTGACTGCTCTTGCAGAGGACCCAGGTTCGATTCCCAGCACCCACATGGCAGCTACGTCCTTAACTGCAGCTCCAGGGGAATCCAAAGCCCTCTGCTGACCTCCACAGCACCCGTGTCATGCAATGCTTGCAGAAGTCAGAAGAGAGCATCAGATACCCTGGAACTGGAGTTACAGACAGTTGTTACCTCCCATGTGGATGCTAGGAATTGAACTTGGGTCCTCTACAAAAGCAGTCAATGCTCTTAGTCGCTGAGCCATCTTTCCAGCCTCCAGAGTAGCTTTTAAAGCTCCCCAGATGATTCTAATATAGAGAGCTGAGGCATACCCTCCTGTGTGCCTTGTTTCCTAGGGTGTACTACACAAACTCTCAGTAATTACTGATCTGAGTAATTCTAAGATACACTCTTAATTTTTTTGCCTGCTATGAATTTATATTAATGCATACGAGAAAAACACAACTCACATTAAACTGTTATATTTTTCTGTTTCAGGTGATAATATACAAATTTCTTTTTTTGTTTTTTGTTTTTTGAGACAGTCTCACTATGTAGCACAGGCTGGATCCCTATGTATACCAGGGCTAGCCTCAAACTCAGAGATCCTCTTGCCTCTGCTTCCTGAGTACTGGGATTAAAGGCATGCAATACCATGCCCAGTCATAATATACGAGTTTTTAAAAATAAATATATAAAACAAAGTGAGTCAGTTACAAAATAAGAAAAGTAAACATGTAGAATTCAAAGGTATGGCCAAAGAACTAGTTATCTTAAACACTAGCAATGTGAGCAGCTTTAAATTAGGTACCGAGGAGCAATTCCAGTTAATTGGAGCTTGGGATTCCAATGTTTGTAACTGGGTGAAGGAACCGTCCTAGAAAACATGACTTCTTCCCACAATGGTTTCCTATTCACTGCTTGTTATTAAAGAAAAATATTCCCCGTAATTCCCAAGCTCAGTGTCAGATTTAATGCAGGCAGAGTAATTCATGCATTAAGGGCACACACACAGACCTTTGCCTGCAGGAGACAGGAGAGGGCACTGATGCCTTTACATTCCAGTAAGACCAAAGCCTGGGAAGACACACTCACCTTTTCGTACACTGGCTGGGGGTGCTGAGGTGGGCATCTCTCAGCCGGTAAATTCCAAAACAAAGCATATTATATGTTTTCAGAGCTTTGCAGAACAAATCACCATAACAACCACCATCCTGAGGGACAACAAAAGAACAGAAGGAAACATCAGTTTTTATTTGCCTGGAAATTGAGGTCCAGGGGGAAAGGGGCCTTTCCATAAAAGCTTGTTTTCTTGTCTCTAGAGCTGGAGGGTCTGTGCCTAGGGACTGTGGCTCAGAAAGTTAACATGGCTAATAGCCTAGACCCAGCGTGGGTGACTTTAGGGATCTGACAACCATGGGAGTTTCCTCTCGTGTCTAGCCAGTTTTCCACATAGAAGGACGAGAGCCCAAAGGGGCTTCTGTCTTTCTTCACCTGAGGTGAGGCCGCCTGAAGGTCTCAGATGTCCAACTGTAAGGAAAGACACCATCTCTTCAATATGCGGACTGTTTCGCCCCAGCTCAGCTTCGGCTATTACGATTGGACCAGGCTCTCAAAACTGCCCAAGTGATAATGAAAATCACTGTAAGAAGAAAAGCCCCTACCAAGGCCTATGACGATAGACTCTCTGAGATGAGAACCGTGTGTGTGAAAAGCACAATTTGCGAACCTCAGAGATGGCAAAGGGGGAAGAGGAAGTGTTTCCCCAGGAGCTGGGGGGTCTGCAGGTGAGATAACTGGGATTCACAGTTCTAATCAGTTCACAGCCACCTTCCCAGAGACTGGGGCCTGATCAGAAAGTGAAAACAACATGGTCATTTGGAAATGCATTCAAAATACTGAGGCTCATGCAGACAGGTGGCCCCAGGTGGGCATTATCACAGGAAAGTCACACCGTAACTTCCTAGGAACAAAAGAAATTTCCGTATGGGCATGATATGAGACAAGAAATGGGCCTAGAGTTCACCATTATTGAAAGTATTTGTTTTATTCAAGTGTATCACTGAGGAAATGCTATGTAAAGAGCCACGAAGTATGCAATTGTCTTTCAACACAGTCCAGTCTGAAGTAGGTCCCAGCCTAGAAGTGATCAAAATTCCAGAGCAAGTAGACATTGACATGTTAAAACAACCAGAAAGACCTTTCCCATAATTAGCCTTTCTGAGCCACACTGTTGTTTGTGCAATAGGTTTGTCCATTCATTCCCAAGACTCATAGCTCCCCTCCCTCAACACATCTATGTACCTGGCTAGGAATAAGGGTCAAGGCTGCATCTTGACCCTTCCAAAGCATCCGACCAATGCCAGTACACAGAAGCCAAAGGGTGACTTTGGTCCCTTCCTTTGAAGGAGAGCCGAGGAAGCATGACTGGGTCCAGACTCGGAAATCCCAAAACCTAGCTTTAGAAATAAAGGCATCGAAGGAACCAGTTGAGACCCTGCTACTTTGGTCCCTGGTTGCTGGATATACGTAACTGCTTTGATGCTTCAAACACCACCAGTTCCCTGGTGGTATGCAGATACAAAAGTTCTGATCCCTGGACCTGGAGCTGAGCTTATGTTCTGGTAGAGTCAGGACTGAGTAGTTCTGGGCTACGAAGATCCTGCAGAAGTGTTTCCCAAACTTAGGTATGTGTTGTTCCTTCTCTGTGAGAAAACACCAGGGGAAGACAGAAAGGACTGAGAGGCCCTCAGCTCCAAAGTCAGGGTGCCTGGGTATGAGTGCCCTGTGCCTCACAGCTGCCTAGGAGCATGTGGTAACAGAGCCCACATCAAAGTGTTGGCATGAGGATTTATATGAATTTCTCTGCGTAAAGTGCAGGGCCTGGTAAACAGGAACCCATAAATCCCACCTCTTTAGTTATTTACAGTGGAAGAAAGAAACACCGAAGCCTGGCTTATCGCTGTCTGACACAGTTCACTCAGATCAGGTTTTGTGTAAACACCGGGTCAGGAGTCCTGTGGTATGGACTCACCCCTAAGTCTGCAAAGGGCCCATCCAACAGAGCTAACTGGGCCACTCTGCAACGGTCCCTGTTGGCCAGTGTCTGGGGAGTGCTGTAGCCCCCTCGAAGTGCATTCTCCTCAGCAATCAGAGCCTCGAGCTCTGGTGTGGCTCCTCCTGTCACCAAGGTCCGTATCAGGGTGAGGATATTGTCATTGAAGTATGTCTGTGGAGAGAGGGTGGGAGAGAAACATCCTTAAGCAAACACCCTAAAGCCACGACAGCCGACGTCCAAATTACAACTTTTCTTGGTATCGCCTCTGTAAAGTTCTGGCCTGTCTCTTCAAATAATTTTCTGTGGAAAGGGAAAAGACAGCAGCCTCCAATTATTCCATTCTTTTCTTTCCTGCTTGGTTCCACTATGAGATCCCGACTTTTGAAAACCAATTCAGAGGATGCTGCTTAAAGGGCTAACGTCTGAATAATTGGTGTTTATCATAATTGGTGTGGGTGGGAATGCAAATATGGTCTAGCCTCTTCAAGTCTCAGTGTCTACTCTGGCACCAGGGACTTGTGTAATAAAATGCAGCCTGTATGGGCTGCTACCCAAAGCAGGGCAACCTCTGAGAGCCTGTCACCTACGTGAGGGAGGCTGCCCCTCCCACAGATGGCAGAACTTCTTCTGTGTAGAACAAGGTATGCCTCACCCTCAGCAACTTACCACAAGTTTTGATAACAGTCTAACCCAGAAGTCTCCACTAATAAATAAGCTGGATAACGGAAGATGAGGTTAAGTGTCCTGCTGGATCTACTTGGGTTTAGGTTTCTTCAGAGCGCCTCAGTTGTCTGAGGCGAATATGGTTTATTAAATGACTCTGCCTCTAAGCATACATTTGTCTCAGACCTGGAATGTAGCAGGCCTATCGGGAAGAAAACAATGGGAGTTTTAAAAAAATTAATAGGATGTCAAATACCAGAGCTTAGGAAGACATTTGTTACTCAGCCTAATTGAGAAAGTATCAGTTAAAGGTGGTATGTTCCATTTTTCTGCATAAGGAGAAGTCAAACCCTAAATAAAGTCAAGCCCAATCTAGTCTGTGGCTTTTGAGAATTTATGTACCTCTGGGAGCAGGGCAGGAAAGACAGGTGCATTTTTATTTTCACAGATTTCTTTGAGAGTTTACCTGGTAATGCATCATGGGGAACAAACCAGTCAAGATGAATCCTCAACCCATCACTACTAGTTGGGTGTCTTGGGGGAGGGAGATTGCCTGAGGCTCCTGGGCTTCAGTGTTTGCAGCCATTCAAATCAGCATGGTTATTAAGATCCAGTCTACATGCATAGAATTCCATATGGGTTTCTGGGTTAAGATGATGTTGCTTGGGGCTGGATTTCATTCTTTATTGAATCACTCACCTGAATGTCACTCACCTAACCACAAAGAATGCTAGGAAGCTATACACAGTCTGCCCTGCAGAGACTTCATGATCAGAGTTCAGCCATGCCCTATGGTGGACAAGCAGAACAGAGGATAGCTACTGGAGTAAATGCCTCCGGAGCGGGTAACGGGGCTGGAGTTGGGCTGAGGGTCGACTTCACCTCTCAGAGGCTGTTGTGGCTTTGGAAACTCTTGTGTGCCTCAGTGTCATGGCCTCTGAGAGAGCAGCTGTGGGATCCTTGATTTAATACACCTGAGGCACTGAAAATAATGCTCAGGGCACAGGAAGTGCTGGGAAATATGTCTGGCCTGATATCAGAGACATGGAGTAAAGGGTCACACTCATCACTCATTCCCCAACTTCCTTGTCGTTCCATCTTTCCTACTTTGGTTTTTGACTCACGGACTTGAGGGACCAGTGAATTCCACTGTCACTGTGTTTCATTCTTGGAAGCTGCATCTTTCAGTCCAAAGCAATTCTCAGGCTCCCCATAGACCACAGAAAGTAAAAGAGAGCAGGACAGAGAATTCTAAGAGGTGCCTTTGTGCTCCAGTTACCATTCTAGACCAAGACAGCCAGGAGAGAATTCTAAAAGCAGGCAAGTGGAGAGCCAACACTAGGACCCTTTGTGCTGAAAACCACCCCTAGATATGAAGAAAAGAGGGAAAATAAGTATTTTGACATAGTGTTTGAGATATAAAGGAAAATAATTCTTTTGATTACACAAATGGTCACTAGGAGCAAAAGTCCGGAGCCTAGAGAGATGGCTCAGCAGTTAAGAGCAGAGAACACAGTTCCTAGCACCCTCATGGTGGCTAACAAGCATCCATCACTCCAGTTCCAGGGGATCTGACACCCTCTTCTACATCCGTGCACACATGGTGCACATACATACATGCAGGTAAAAGGCTCATAGGCATAAAATAAAAATAAGTAATTTGTTTTTAAAGTTCAGGAAGCATTTACTTTGAAATCAAAATCTAAAAAAACAGAGTATGTATTATTAGGAAATAAAATGTAAAAGAAGATGCCTAACTTCATATATATTATCCATATTTTTAAATGAAGATAAAATTAAAAAGGATCTAAGAAATAGTTAAAAGGACTCAATGCCCTTTCATAAGGAACACCCTCAACTGGGGGTAGAGGGGAACATCCTCAGCCTCATGAAGACAGTGGTTAATGCAGAAACCCATAGCTAGCCAAAGTGCCAAGAAATGATTGTGGAATGCTTGGCCCCACGTGGGATGGCAATATCAGCTCCTGCAAGGTGGAAGGAACATCATGGACCAGGGGGCAGAAAGAATGTAAGCCAGAGGATGGGGAAATGTGCAGCAAAAAGAGGTCTTTTGGACATGACACAACCACTGAACTCATTAACTACAGCTGTAGTTACGTGCACAGGACCTGCACAAGTTTGGGCCCAGTCAACACGGGGCCCATAAAGCCCCACCCCTCCCTGAGGAACTAGTACTAATTAATAGTTGTTGGGGAAGAGGATGCATTTTCTTCAGTAGTGTGGTACTAAGTTGCCTTTGATCCAGTGAATCACTTCCTATCTATGCTTGGGCAAGAAACTCCAATTAAACTCCATGAGCCACACACAAAAAGAAGACAGGAAAGTAGGTAGGGGATTTGGGGAGAAGAAGCGTTCTTTCAGGAGGGGGGGGGGTTGGATGGGGGTAAAAATGACTACAATTCATTATATCTAAATGTATGAATGCCAAACAATAAACAATTTTAAAAAGAGCATATATGAAAAACAATAGCTAATTCATGATACTTTATGATAGAGGACCAAAGGCTTTCTCCTCAAGATTAGAAAAAAAAAAAAAAAAAAGGAATATGTGTTTGTGACTTCTGTTTTACATTGTGCTAGAGGTTCAAGTCAAAGTTAGAAAGAAATAAAAGACATTCATATTGGAAAAAGAAGACTATTTCCACTTACAGATAACACCACACTGAACAAAAATCTCAAGGAAGCCTCTAAAATTATTATAGGTAATAAAAGAGTTCAGCAAGATGGCACAGTACAAAGCCAGCATAAAAAATAATCAAATCTATTTCTATATATTTTCAGTGAACATGAAAAAAAATTAAGAAAAGATTCTATTTATAACAGCAAAAAATAATAAAATACTTAAGAAGAAAAACTTTATCCAAAGAGGTTCAAGGACAGGTATAGTGAAAGTTATAAAACATTACAAAGATATTAAAGAAACCCAAATAAATGAAAAGATAGCCCATGTTCATAGATTGGAAGATAATATTGAGATAGTGGTAATACCCTCAAACAATAATCAGACTCAATATAATTCCTATCAAAACAGTAGAGACTGTTTTTTGTACAAATCAAAAAGCTAATTGTGCATTTCATATGGAAATGCACAAGATACAAAATGTTTAAGCAGCCAGGCATGGTGGCGCACAGCTTTAATGGCAGCCCTCAGGAAGCAGAGGCAGGTGGATCTCTGTGAGATAGAGGTCAGTCTGGACTACATAGTGAGTTCTAGGCTAGCTGAGGCTACAGGGTAACAGCGCATCAATTTTTTTTTTTAAATGCTTAAGCAATCATTTCTAAAAAAAGTAAAAAAATAAAGTTGGAGGAATCATAATTCCTGATTTCAATATATACTACAAATAATGTTCATCAGGCACTGACGTGATAACAGACATACAGGTCAATGGAATAGAATTGAGGGTCTAGAAGTAAACTCACAGAGCTATGGTCATGGAATGGTCAATGAGGATATCAAAACCCTTCATTGAAGAAAGAATAGTCAATCAAAGAGCATAAGATTGTACCTACTCCTCCTATCATACACCAAACTTAGAATCAAAGATTTAAATGTTACAGCCAAAACTTTTAAGTACTTAGAGAAAATAATACAGACAAATCCTCATAAATTTTGCTTTGTTAAATATCTTAGATAAAACGCCAGAAGTATAAGTTACACAAGAAAAACCAACATATTTAGTATTTCATAATTTTTACAATTAAGCACTGGAGGGCACTATTTGGAAAATAAATGAGAAAAATTATTTCTTATCCCTACCTTTCCACCCTTAAACTTCATTTTATATATATATGAGGCCTGCTTCAAGTTCTTTCTGGAAAAATGTGTTAAAAATTGCCTCTCTTTGGAATAATAAACATATTCTTAATTTTTTAAAAAAACAATTGAAAATAATGTAACTGACAAGGACCTAGTATCCAGTCCTTAAAGCCCTCTTATAACTTAACAATCAAAGGGCAATGTAATTTTTAAAACAGAGAAAAGAAGAGGCTTGATAAATATTATTCCATAAAAGGTATAAATGAAATGTGAAGAGGTTCAGAACATTGGTCACAACAGTAGTGTAAACCAAAAACATAATGAGAGATCATTTTAGGCCCACTGGGATGGGTTGTAATACAAAACAAACAAACGAAGAAAAGAAAACAAAACAAAAGATAAATAGCAAGAGTTGGTGGGACTGTGGAGAAAGTAGAGGTCTTATAAACTACCCATTGGAAAATAGTCTGGTAGTTTCTTAAATGGTTAAACTTTGGGTTACCATATAACCCAGCAATTCTACTCAACTCTAACCAAGCGAAACGAAAATATAAGTCAACATAAAAACTTATGCAGGGATGGTTTTAACACCATTATCTGTGATAATAAAAAAATAGAACCATTAATGAATGCACAAGTATGTGCTATATCTAATTAATATTCATTGTCCACAAAAAAGTATGATACATGCGACAACATGGATGAACCTTGAAAACACAATGAGGTTCCA